GGAAGTTTTGAATTATTCAGCGCATCTTTCCCCAGTATTTTTGAGACAGGATCTTATTATGTGGCCCCGCCTCCCTAGGCTTGGATTACAGGCAGGCAATACAACATGGTTTCCATCTGTCTTTAATAAACCCTCCTCTGCCTCACTGCCACATGTCAGTTATCACTGCCCCTGCGCCTATTGCCGACCTGAACTCCCAGAAGCCATCATTCTAATTTGCTGTGATCTTTGGCTTCGTGAGACAACCGGGAGCCGTGATAATGTAAAAGCCTGGAAAAGAAAGGGAATGGCATGGTGGCTCCTGACTGTAATCGAAGGGCGGCCGTTAGGGTCTGAGGCTGGAAGAGCGCTAACGTTTGAGGCTTCTGTGGGGCGTGCTTTTAACGTCCACCTGCCTACTGAGAACAAGCAAAGGCACAAACAAAACAAGTAGGGGGAAGAGGAGGAAGGAGAGAGAGAAAAGCAAGCTGTATACGAGAGCCTATCTTATCGGCAAAGCACACGCACTTTCAGGACATGAACTCAGTGACAGCACATTTGGTCAGTTACTCATGGGTCCCTTCGGATTCATTTATGATTAACTTTGTTCCTGATTCTTAACTATGTACAGTCCCTGATCTTAATGACTATCTCAGTTATCCCCTCAGGCCTACTCTCTAACGAGGTCATGAACTCTGTGTTCAGGAGCCACGTTTGATTCATCTTTGTACCCCAGTGTCTAACACGACACAATGAACACAGTCTCGTGGAGGCTGCCACCAGGGGAATTTACAGCATACAGCTGCTTATGGCAGTGTGTACACAGCCACCCATTAAATAACAACAAGCTCTAGGGTACAGGCTGCTGGATGCTTGACCAAGTGTTTCAAGGAATGAGAACTTTAGTAAGGGCCTCACAGCGAACAAGCTGTGTGCTCACAGTCCCACAGAGCTCTCCTTTCAATTAAATCTAGCTGCCAAGAAGTTAGCTATGGATCTGGTCACTTAGGATGCGGTGGTTAATAAGAACTAAGGTTCTCCAGACCACTCTGTTTCAGGCTACTCTCACCTCTGCTCAAGTATCACAGTCAGTCTCTCTCTGCTTCCTTATTTCCTTCCAGGTCATTCTCCACCATGCCACCCAAGTGAGCTTTGTTTGTTGAGACAGGGTTTTTCTGTATAGCCCTGACTGTCCTGAAACTCACTCTATAAACCAGGCTAGCCTGGAACTCGGGAGATCCACCTGCCTCTGCCCCTGAGGATGAAAGGCATGTGCTACCACCATCATCCACCCACGCTTACAGCCAGCCATTGCTGAGCTTTTTAAAGAGCAAATCATAACACATGGCTCTTCAAAACCTTCTAAGCCTTTTCTCTACTCTTAGAATAAAATTTGAACACCCCTCCTCTCCATCTCCCACTCCTATCTCCATCCCTGATCCAGCAGCTTTACAAGCTAGGCCCTAATCTACCTCTCTACCATATAGCTCACTACTCACTCCTAATGGTTTACCCTGGCTATGTTAGCTAATTCATGTGGAATTCCATAGTCAGATCATGCCGTCTTCCAATGGCAAACCGTGTTAAGGTCTGTCAAGAAAATCCCACTCAGCAGCAGAGAAACTCAATTTATGGATATGAATTTTAAACTTATGGTTTTAATGAACACATTTTTTTAAGATCAACTGATGACTACTATCATTACCCAAACAGTATGTTCTCTCCTGGAAAGGAAGACTCCAAACAACAAATAAACAGGAGTTTTAACAGAAGGAAGGTTGGTCATACAGGCAGCTTGAGAAAAGTTACCAAACAGTCTAGGTCCCAGCATGACCCGTGCATTTTTAGCTGATTAATGATTAAAATGAAATATGAATTGAGAAATCCTGGGGACTGAACCAATGAAAACTAAGAAGAGGCATCTGTCACAATTCTGACCACAGAAGCTTCAAGGAAAGTGATGCTAGTGGGCTCTGGCAAGATCCCCCTCCATCCTTAAGAGAGGGCCATGCAGAGCCTATTTCTCTCTCCACAGACCTGAATGAGGATGCCTGTGGCCATGGGTGCTACTGTCTGCTATTTTGCAACCATTAAATAAACTAACCCCAAAGATAGCAACTTCCATTCTGCTGGCTAATGTGGTGCCCATGGTCTCTCTGTCTCTGAACATCAAGTTGTAAGAGCCAGTAAGGGTTTTGGTTGGGGGAATGGTTGTAATTATTATTATTTAAGTCAGTCTGAGTTATTACTTGGAGCCCAAAGTCTCCTGACATACAACTGAAAAGTAATTCTAGAGAAAACAGAAAGAAGAAAATCATGTTGAAAATGATGAATATAACCTGACATCATTTAGTTCTGTAGCCTCAGCAGAAAATTAACCTAACAAAATATAGCAACATTTTTCTATAAGAGAATATAGGCCCTTCTTATACACTTGGTAGAGTATTGAAAGCACAGCAAATAATTTAGGAGAATTTGCAATGAAAAAAGAATATCCTGCATTCACTGAATAAAATTGTAGGTGGAACATTGTGGAAGACAATATTAATGAGCCAGGTATGGCACACGCCTTTAATCCCAGCACATGGGAAGCAGAGGCAGGCAGATCTCTGCTTTGAGGCCAGCCTGGTTTACATAGAGAGTTCCAGGCTAGCCAGGGCTATATAGTGAGATCCTATCAAAAAATATATTTAGAATAAAACACACAGGAAAAAAAATAGATCTTCAGTGAGTTTGGGGAAAGCATCCTGGGCTCGATACACATGTTAAGTAGAGTCCTCAACAGAAAAGGGGAAAATAGAAAAATACATGAAGAAATGATGGTCAATATTTTTCCATATTTGGTTTTAGAAGTCTAACTTTATAGACCTAAAACACTAAGGGTCGTGTTGCATTCGGCTCTATAGCTCAGTATCTCGAAGAGCAAGTGCTCCTCCAACGACCGCTCCTGAACTAGAGTCTTTAATCATTAGAAAACTCTCACAAAGCACATGTCAATCAAACTGCTTTAAAAAGCACTCCGAAGGAAAGGACACACATGTGTGACAGCAGACCTCTCAGAAAGAATGCAAGCCAAGAAGAAAATGACAACATAGAGCTGTTTTTAACAATGGTTTTTTTCAAGATGACATTCTCTGTTACATAAAAGTTAAAACACCAGGCAATGGTGGCACACTCCTCTAATCTCAGCACTTGGGATACAGAGGCAGGTAGATACCTGAGTTCAAAGCCAGCCTGGTCTACACAGAGAAACCCTGTCTTAAAAACAATTTTTTTTTTTTTTGAAAGAATTTAGCCCCTCTGTAGAGTCATCCTACTGGGAATGGGAAAGAAGTTTTTTGTTTGTTTTTTTAGACAATCAGAAATATGATGTTAGAAGCACTGGCCAATGTATAGGTAAACAGAACAATACTTTTTTAATTTTAAAAACCCTTGAGAAGTGACGGCAGTGTATTATGGAACTGATGTCATTTGTAGAAATAAAATGTATGACAACGGCTCAAAGACTACAGGGAAAGGAGCACCGTGAGTCTACTGCTCTTAAACTGTTGCATTACAAGCAATGTGACAAAGCTGGGCACTATAAACTCTAAAGCCACCATTAAAGGAAATTAAATAATTCCTAAGAAAGAACAAGGTGTGTGGGGGGGGGGAGTGTTAATGGAGGGGTTAAACAAATATGACAAACACAAGTGATAAGACAGACCAGGCCTAAACATAACTAACAGACAAAACAAAAATGGCTTGGCCACCCCATTTAAAAGGAAGACTTGGCTAGAATGGATGATAATCAAGGGTGAACTATCTACAAAAAGCCCACCTTAAACATAAGACAAAAATGGGGGCTGCAGAAGTGTCTCAGCCATTAAAAGCACTGACTGCTCTTCTAGAAGACCCAGGTTTGTTTCCCAGCACCCACATGGCAGCTCACAACCATCCGTAACTCCAGTCCCAGGGGATCAAACACCTTCTGGCCTCCTCAGGCATGTGGTGGACATAAACTCCCACAGGACTCTCTCTCTCTCTCTCTCTCTCTCTCTCTATATATATATATATATATATATATATATATATATATATATCTGTCTTTCTCTCTGTGTCTCTGTCTCTGTCTCTCTCTCACACACACACAAACTCACCCAGAACAACGATCTCTCTCCCGCCCTCTTAAAAAAATTTTTTTTTCTTTTGGTTTTTCAAGTCAGGGTTTCGCTGTGTAGTCCTGACTGTCCTGGAACTTGCTTGGTGGCCTCCAACTCACAGAGAACCACCTGCCTCTGCCTCCTGAGTGCTGGAATTAAAACTGTGCACCACCACGCCTGGCTAATAATAAATATTTTTAAAGACAAACTTAAAAGTACAGAAAAGTATCATATTAGCATGATTCAGAAGAAAGCTGAAATAGCAATATCACACTCCTAGATTTCAGAGCAAAGAATAAAATCAAGGCTAGAGACTCATATAACAAAGACAGAGAAGTCAATTCATCAAGTCATCAAAAGCATACAGCAATCCTAAGTGTGCATGTACCCAGTGAGCCTCAATCCACCCAGGCAAGAAAACATAAAGCCCTCTTTCACAGTTAAAATAGAGCGTCAGCATTCCTGAACTAAAACTAAACACAGCCAAAAGGGGACTTAGGACCTTCCTATGTAATAAATAGCATGCATTTTACTAATAAAAGTATCATATCTCTCAGGAGTCAAAGGTATACATTAACGAGTTCATTTAAAAAAAAAAAAAAAAAGTCTGGTGGCACAGACTGTTATCCCACTAGTCAAGAGGCTGAGCTGCAAGCTGACTGCAAGTTTCAAGATCAGCCTACAGAGTAACTTCCAAGTCATTCTGGGCCTGGGAAACTTAATGAGAACCCTATGTCAACATTCAAACTAAAAAAGGAGGATGTCACTTAGTGATAGACTTCTTACCAACGCGTGAAGACCCTGGTGCAGACCCCAGCCGCAAGAGGAAGTTTACAACTTCAACAGCAAGCTGGTCAAAGTGATGGAAAGCTGACTCACCTCTCATACTGCCTGTCTCGTGATGACGAAGTGCCCCGATGTCCCAAGTCCATGATTAACAGAAGTAAAAGGAGACAGGGTATAAAGAAGAGTCCCAGGAATGCCACCCGCTGACGGAGAAATGGGCTCACTGTAGGCACAGTGAAGTACCAGGAGGCTGGGCAGAGGTAGGAAAAGCTGATCCTGGAATAAGACAAACACTTGATAAGCCTTAAAACTCTCCATAGGTGACTGCTTTAAAACTAGATGATAGTCCTCAGCACAAAAATTCATGACAAGAGAAGGCTAAATGTTTTTTCTTCATTCTCATATGAGAGAAGAAGCAGCTGCATGGCTCATGGTATTTCTAGCATGCTGCTCAGAAAGACAAGTTGAAGATTTCATCTCGTGTTAATGGAAAGATCATCACTCTCCCCCCCCCGGGGGGGGGGGACACTTCCTGACACGGCCACTTCCTGACACTGGAGAATCAGAGCAACTGCAACATGCCCACTATCAATATGTCAAGAAGCTAGATACTTAGAAAAGTTGTTTAACTGATTTCTTTAATGCTTTGACAAAGTATACACACAGAGAGACTTTTTTTTAAATATCAGCTTTAACAGATACATAGTAAAAACTAAATCTGGCTCTGACTCCACCATCTTCCAGAAGAAACTACTGCTACTCCTAAGACCCCGGCGATGGCCAGGAAATTACTGTACTGGCCTTTCAAAAGAATACCACTTTGATGTCCTTGCATACACCTGACCAGGATGCAAAGTTCAGGTGGAAGCTGAGGGCAAACCTCACTTGTAACAGCCTCCTGGTGCCCCCGGCTTACCACCCTCCACTGAGCCCTTTGCCAGAGATAACGGGTGCAAACCTTACCTAGCCATGGGTTCCCTTCAGTAGTCTCGATGTCTGTCACCTCCTTTTCCTTTTGCTCTGAGAGGGTGGCCTCCTTGTCCCCCGCATCTCCTAAGGCTGTAGCCTGGAAGGGTTGACTGGCTTTCAGGCACTTCTCCAACAGTGTCCAAAGGACCATTTCCCCTCAATGACTGCACCCACCCACCCACCCACCCCCACACACACACCTCCAAGTCGAGGACCATTTCCCCTCAATGACTGCACACACACACACACACACACACACCCCACTCCGTGTCGAGTCTCTCTCCTCCCAAGGGCCCACAGGACCCTAAGGCGCATCCCGGTCGCAAGGCTTCCCTGCCGGCCGGCTCCGTGCTCGCGGAGCACACCACCCCAGGAGGTAGGGATAGGGGACCCCGCTTCCTCTTCCCCTCTTCCCGTCCCTCTCCGCCCCGGAGCTCTCCCGCGATGCCACTCACGGGATCCAAGGCCCGCTCGTCCTTCTGCACAGCCCAGCCTGGTCCCCAGCGGTTCCCCGTGGCTCCCAGCACAGCCGGAAGGAGGCCTAGCTGCCAGCGGCGCCACGTCCCCAAGGAAACCGCACCGAGCCAATAACTGCCGGGGACCCGGAGAGGCCCGCCCTGCGCGCAGCCAGAGCTACGGACGAAGCCGCGGCGTTCACAAACTGAGAGTCTATTCACAGCCGGGCCAATCCTCAAGGGCTCCCGGCCCCGAATGCCCGCCCCCTGATTAGAGCCGCGGCCAATCATAAAGGTGTCGCACACAAGCTCCGCCTCAAGGGCGGGCAGGGGCCTCGCACAGGTAAGACTCAGCACTGCTGAGTCGCCAGCTGCCCACCGGTGACTCCGCCACTGCTGCCAGTGCGCTCCCACTGTGGTAGGGTCTCGGGGTGTTCGCCACAGCAGTACACCCCTTGCCCAGACGTTTGTCCCCACAATGGCAGTTCCCCCATCCCGTTCCTTTTTTTCCCCCATAAATTGATGTCATCTCTCGTGACATTTTGGGAGAAAATCGGAGACAGTGGTGTTTGCATCAAAGCGCTTATGTCCTTTCCTTCAACGCTGATCGTCTACTCTGTGCGGATCATGAACATTTGTGGCATTGTCCTGGACCTTGCGGTGCTTCTATTTTTGTTGAACTCCCCCCACCCCGCCCTGTGTCTCGTTTGCATGAAGAAGCCTCTTGAATGGCAGAAGTCTAAGGTTTGCTCAAACTGTCTCTTACACTACTGTCCGGGGCGCACCCCGGCGTCTCTTCCTCGCCTCTTGGTTAAGCCCACACGTGCACGTACCCTTGTGGGGTCAGACCTTATAGCTTTTGTTCATTCTGGTCCTTCCACCTGCTTTGACTGTCAGTCCCTGCTCATACATTTGGTTTAAGGGTCGTCTTCCTTCAAAAATCTTACTTGAAACACCTTCTGTCCAGTTACCCCTTGAATTACAAGCATGTGTCTTTCTGCTCCACTGGCCAGAAAATACTTGCGGGCAGGACTATCCACTTTTACACATTCCCAAAGCCAGGCCACCTTTCACAATAAAACAGCGCTATCTTAGGATATACACGAACACACAAGAACATTGGAACAGACATGAAGACCAAGATGAGATCAATAGTGGCTATTTCATTCAAAGCTGGCTGTAACCGGCGACAGTCACTGTCACTGCATTTGGCCGAGAATCGATGCTGTCCGAGGAGTAAAACAGCTTAATAATGAAAGGCACAAGGGTTCATATGTCTATGGTGTCAGGGTATTAATAGCAGAGAGGGGCTGAAGGCTGGGTGACTGGGTCAGAGAAGCACGTTCTGGGCCTGAGTTGGAGAGGAAAGGAGCAAGTAAACAAGCTAGCTGGGAGGCAGAGGCAGGCAGATCTCTGTTAGTTGGAGGCCAGCCCAGTCTGCATAGTGAGTTCCAGGAGAGACAGGACTAAGCAGAAAGACAATGTCAAAGGAGGAGGAAAAGGAGAAGGGGGGGCAAAGCAGGGGAGGGGGATGGGAGCAGGGGAGGGGGAGAGGAGCAGGGGAGGGGGAGAGGAGCAGGGGAGAGGGGAGAGGAGCAGGGGAGGGGGAAGAGGAGCAGGGGAGGGGAGAGGAGCAGGGGAGGGGAGAGGAGCAGGGGAAGGGGAAGGGGAGCAGGGGAGGAGAGGGGAGCAGGGGAGGGGGAAGGGGAGCAGGGGAGGGGGAAGGGGAGCAGGGGAGGGGAGAGGAGCAGGGGAGGGGAGAGGAGCAGGGGAGGGGAGAGGAGCAGGGGAGGGGGAGAGGAGCAGGGGAGGGGGAAGGGGAGCAGGGGAGGGGAGGGGAGAGGAGCAGGGGAGGGGAGGGGAGAGGAGCAGGGGAGGGGAGGGGAGAGGAGCAGGGGAGAGGGAGAGGAGCAGGGGAGGGGAGGGGAGCAGGGGAGGGGAGGGGAGCAGGGGAGGGGGAAGGGGAGCAGGGGAGGGGGAAGGGGAGCAGGGGAGGGGAGGGGAGGGGAGAGGAGCAGGGGAGGGGGAAGGGGAGCAGGGGAGGGGGAAGGGGAGCAGGGGAGGGGAGGGGAGGGGAGAGGAGCAGGGGAGGGGGAAGGGGAGCAGGGGAGGGGGAAGGGGAGCAGGGGAGGGGAGAGGAGCAGGGGAGGGGGAAGGGGAGCAGGGGAGGGGAGGGGAGGGGAGAGGAGCAGGGGAGGGGAGGGGAGAGGAGTAGGGGAGGGGAGGGGAGAGGAGCAGGGGAGGGGGAAAGAAGAGAAGCAGCAGCTGACATCAACTGATCGGGATCTTGCTCCTTCTGGCCGATGACTACAGAGGTTGATCTGGGTCCCATCATCTGTGATCTGACCTTTGTCTAGCTTGTCTTTCCCTTCTGCTGCTCTATCAAGTTGCCATCTTAATTTGCCCTTTCCCCTTGAATTCTCATCTGTCAACTTTCTTCTCCCTTAATCGCCACACTGCTTTAGTGTCATCCTTAACCTGGGACACTGAAGCCACACTGAGGAAAAAGTGTACAGGCAAGTGTGGGGGCCGGCCATGTAGGTCAGCTGGTAGAGTGCTTTCCTAGCACAGACCATGAAACCCTCCTTTGTTTGGCCCCAGCTTCACACTAAAAAGTAAGGAATGACTAAATAAATAAATAAAGGGCCTGAGCATGGTGGCCGAGCCCATCTATAATCCTTGCAGTCAGAGCTAGAGGAAGAGGATCAGAAGTTCAAGGTCATTGTCTTAGGGTTTCTATTGCTGTGAAGAGACACCATGGTCACAGCAACTCTCCTAAAGGAAAACATTTAATCGGGGCTGGCTTCCAGTTCAGAGGTTTAGTCCGTTATCGTCATGGTGGGAAGTATGGTGGTGTGCAGGCAGACATGGGCTGAGAGTCCTACTTCTGGATCTGAAGGCAGGAGCAGACTGTGTGCCACACTGAGACCTCAAAGCCTGTCCCCAGTGACACACTTCCTCCAGCAAGGCCACACCTCCCAGGAGGGCCAGTCTTTATGGGCCTATGGAGCCATTTTCATTGGAACTGTCCTCTGATGCACAGCAAGTTTGAGAGCAGCCTGAGCTACAAGAGACCTTATCTCAAAGGCAAAGGTGGGAAAGGCTTGATGGCTCAGCCCTTTAACCCCAGCACTTCACTAGGAAGCTGAAATGGGAAGGGCAGTCTGACTACCTGGTGAGGCCTTACCCTAAACACACGCGCGCACACACACACACACACTCATACAATCACATGCACACTCATGCAAACACACACACTTTCAAACACATGCACACTCATATTCATGCAAACACATGCACATTGGTTGGTATTATCACAAAATTATATATCAGGTAATTTTATTATTCCAGAGAACAGTTCAGTGCCTAAGGAAAGGAAGACACGGAAATAATTCAATGGTTGTTTTTGAATATTTTTTTTTAACTTCCTGAAGCTTTGTTCTTTGAGTTGTAAGTCTAAAATATGTATATTTCAAACTCCAATACTCCATTAAATAGGTGTTTTGGAGGATGAACAAGATTCCTACCTATTTGTAAACAATATCTAATCCATGGGGGGGGATGTTTTGTTTGGTTGGTTTTGGTTTTCTGAGACAGGGTTTCTCCATATAACAGTTCTGGCTGTCCTGGAACTCACTATGTAGACCAAACTGGCCTCAAACTCCCAGAAATCTACCTGCCTCTGCCTCCCGAGTGCTGGGATTAAAAGCATGTGCCACCACCACCACGCAGCTTCATGGGGTTTATAAGCTATGTTAACTTTACAATCCAAAGGGGCATTGAAACACCCTCTAAAGTTAGAGGGTATAACTACTGTCATAAAACGAAGAGAAAACTATATTTTATTCCTTGCAAATGTCTCTTTGACAGCTGGTTTGGACAGTCCTTCTTCTAATAAGTCTGCCTGCCTCCAGGCATGTGTTCTTTCGTGATCCTGGGCAAAGCCCTGCCATGTTTATCTGATTAGAAGTTCAGTCAGCAGGCCAAATCAACAGGTTGAGACCATTGTTCTTCCTCCCTTGCTGTACCCCAATGTCATGTTGAAACATTTGATAGAAAGCCACATTTCAAAACTGCTTCTTAAAGGGTTGTCTACACTTAACGCGAAAACTCCTATCAGCATGCCTTCCATGCCCAACCCCCAACAAACTAGCCTTTCACACCGTCACTTGTCTAACTTCCAAAGGTTTAATCGTCCTCTTTGTGTGCCTTTCAGACATCACAAGTTCAAACCTGCTGTCTCTCCCCTCATTCCCCACCTCCTCCATCCAAGTGCACATCTTGGACATCATCCCCAGTGATTACCCCATGTGAGAGCCCGGGCAGGAATCAACCTAAAATCCCTCCCCTCCACTTTCTTTTGCATCTCATTTGTGTTCTTACGTGCTGTGGGGCATTCACCAGAGAAGACTGCTTGGACCCTCTGTCCAAAGTCCCACCTATACCTCCTGCCTAGCTATTGGTCATTCGGCTTTTTACCACACCAATCACAGCAATACACCTTCACACAGGGTGCAAGTACCCCCTGCAGTGATGTACATCTGTAATCTTAGCCCTTGTGGAACCAAGGCAGGAGAATGGAAGGTCTGATGTCAACCCAGGTTATATAGCAAGACCTGTCCCCAAAACTGAATAAAAAAAATTCAAGCACTGACAGCTGACAATAATTAAAAACAAACAAACAAACAAAAATCCTACTCATATGTATTAGTCAGAGTTCTCCGGAGGAACAGAACTGATACGATGAAAATACATAAATCCCACTGAGTAACATCCATGTATATGAAAGGGATTTATTAGGCTGGCTTACAGGCTGTGGTCCAGCTAACTCAACAATGGCTGTCTACCATCAAAAGGTCTAAGAATCTATTCAGTCCATGCAGCTGGATGCGTCAGCTAGTCTTCAGTAGATGCTAGACCCCTCAAGAAGTAGGCTCTAAAGACAGCAAAGGGATGGACTTGCCAGCAAGCAGGCAATGAGAGGAAGCTTCCTTCTTCCATGTTCTTAAATAGTCTGCCAGCAGAAGGTATGGCCCAGATTAAAGGCGGATCTTCTCACTCCAAATGACTTAATTAAAAAATCTCCCACAGGCATATTCAGCCACTTAGGTTTTAATAATTCCAGATGTAGGCAAGTTGACAACCAAGAATAGCCATCATATACATACTATACATGAAAACTAATTTGAAATACATCA